TCAGAACCCCCCTTTTTTTTTTCCAATCTTTCTTTGATTGTGTCATTTACATAGCTCTGTCTCCTCTACCAGTCTGGAGACTCCTCTAAGTGTGAGAAGAAATGTCATCTCTTCTTTTTTAACCCTATAGTAGCATTTACAACTGTTAGCCCAAATTATTTTTAATATCTCAAAAATACTGTAGGAAGCTATGTAGTTGGGTGGGTAGGTGGGTGAGTGGGTGGATGGATGATAAACTTTTCAAGTTGGGTTCATTTAAAAAGAAAAAAAATTAAATCTATTCTCTGCAACTAATATTAAACTGTGCTCTGTTAATTAAAGCCTAAATTGTTTAGGCAATGCCTTCAAGTTGTATACCAGCATAATGTATATGTCCCCTTGTTGTATTTTAATAGTCCACACACACTCCTGAATAATGTAAGAAAATACACCGGTGAGATGAGTAAATGCTCTCTGAATAGAAACATTTAATAATGTCACAAATTTTAAATGGGTTATATAATACACATTCACTTTATAATCAATCTATCTGAGGTATGAATAAAATCCAAAATATATATCCCAAGGAACTAAGCAAGGTTTTAATTAAGAATTCTTAGAAAAGAAAAATCAATTATAGCAAAAGTGGAAAAATCTAGAACCTTAAAAATATAAGATAGTTTTAATAACTAAGTAATAATATTAAGTACTTATCTTTTTACTAATTTATAGTGACACGCCTGAAAGGAAAAGGAACTCAGAACTTCACTCCTCCTTCACCGGAGAGAAGTTGGTCCCAAACTTTTCCCACTGTGCCTGGTATCCAGGTAAAGTGCTAGAGTGCAGGGGATTTCCCTGGGAAACCTTCCATCTCCCTTTCAACATTTCCACCCCCAACCAGGTGATCTTGATCAACACACCCTTGTTTTTAACCAGATGCCATGGTTAGAAATATTCTAAAAATCAAAAATAGCCCCTAATACAATGTCACCCAATGGGAGCAGCTGTGTAGGACTTACTTAGGACCATGGAGCCCTTAGCAAATTTCAAATTGTACCTTTTCCTGTATTTCTTTTTAAGATCACAAGTGGAAATCTCTTTACCAGAAAATTACTTTCCATCAAAAGCAGTCTTTATCCAACCCATTCTCAAAATTCCCAGAGGTAATGTAAATGCTGATTATTCTTAAACCTTGTGTAGTTTATGAGATCAACAAATATTAACTGAGTGCCCATGCCCAGTAAGTGTCAGACGATGCACTAAAAATATACTTGTGATCCTGCTCTACAGAGATGATCAATTATGGAAAATAGAATGCCTAATAAACATGTACCAAAGAGAAAGATGAGTATAAAACTGAGAAAAGCATAAGCTGCTATGGGAATAGGCAGAGGTGCCCTGATTTAGGTCAGAGGATAAAGTAAGCGCATATAGAAGAAAGGCTACGTAAGCTAAAATTTGACTTCTGAGGAGGTCAATGGGATTGTGTGGGAGAAAGACTTTTGGGCATGGAGACAAAGAGTGTTCTGAGCCGAGAAACAGCATGTGGAAAAAGGCTTAAAGAGAGTGCCAGCATATGTGATGCTAACAAGGAATTTTTAAAAATTCTGTAGTTGAAGGCTGAGTGGTGACATGAGAGAGATACAGGTCAGGAGATTCTCACAAGCGAGGGAAGAAATTTATACTTAATCCAAGGGGAAGGGGAAAACAATTGTGTGGATTGTAAATAGTTTGGATTTTTATGGCTGTAGAATGTGAATGTGGTTTTGTAAGACCTGGCATGTACTCTTGCTTGCTGTAGCACATTCTAAGCACATAATATGGGGTGTGAAAAGAGCAGATGAGTGTCTGGACTTGACCTTTCTCAAGGAAATCCGGGTAGGGCTGTCTGAAGCAGCAAAGTGTCATGAAGGAAGAAGGTAGACCATGCATCCATTACTGACTAGCAAAATAACAGAGAGGCATCCAATATGACGAGGGTGACACAGCCTCCTCCGGTGGTGTCAGGGAACAATAAAGACAATCAAAGGCGTCCCATGAGATCACTGTACTTTCATATGAGAATTGCCCTAGATTCAGCCTCTAGAGCTGTTCCCTCAGAACCCCACTGAAGACTGTCATTTACCCTGGTGTCTGCATGGGGTCAGGCTGGCATGTGGCAACAATCCCAGCTGTGGAGTCAAAGGAGGTCAAGGTGATCTGTTTTCCCTGCTTACTACTTGTGTCATTTGGGGCTACAAACACAATCCCCTGAGTCTCAGTCTTCCCAACTTTCAAAATATGGTAACAATTACTACCTCAGAGGGTGTTTTCTGAGAGGAAAGAACATGTGTGAAAGGTGCCTAGAATATCCCTTGGCATAACAGTAGGCATTCAATAAGAGATGGTTCTTGCTGGGATGCTATTGGCTCCATTACCTCCCAGCACCAGGCCATGGAAGAAAGAATAGGGAATAGGGAAGAGATTATAACAAGAAGTTTGCTCATTAGGCGTAGGTGCCTTGGGAGCTACTTTGTTGAATCTGAAATCCTTGGGTGGCAGAAAGTAAATAAATGTTCCTAGTTTGAGGATATGTGTTTGGCTCTTATTTCACAGTTGACATTCACACGGATACCAGGAATATGACTGCTAATTAAGTATTCATTGAGTAGCCTTTTTTTCCCCCATAACAAACATATAATTAAGATGTCAGTATGTGCATGCGCACCCACTCATGTGGGTGCGTGTATGTGTGTGTGTAAAGAGAGAAAATTCTGCGATAACAGAGTCATAGAATTAGGGAGCTGGAAGGTCCTTCTGTTACGTACTGCTAGTTTATTAGGGTAATTCCAAGGCCAGATAACAGTAAACCCATTCTCCATTCAGTGTTGCTAATCTAACTCTATTCAAGTATATGATCTGTTACCTGAATAGCTTTATACATTTGAATGAAGGCCAAGTGGAGACTGGGCACTTGAGTGTGTCTGGTGCTCTCTCCTTTTCCTCCTTCCAACCTCATCTCAGCCAACACTTCTGCTCCATATGGAAGCATGAGATTCCTAATGCCCAAAATAGGTAACTGCCCTCTAAGTTGCTCCTGTAAGAGAGGCTTTAACCAAATGAGCCAATGAAGCTACACCAGCCAAATCTGTAATTGTGTGTGATTCAGAGGGGACTTCCTTTAAATTCAATGAAGACTGACCACATGCAGAACATATTTGTTGAATAATTTGTTTGAGAAAATCAATGTCATACTTCTATCTGAGTTTGTTACTTGCCACGGATGTACCATTCCCCATCAATACCCAATCCTTGCAACAGCCTCTGGAAATTCTCAGAAAGTATTAAAAGGTGTATCTGTAAGTCCTCTTGTTCTATGAAAGGTGCAGATTATCACTTGCTACAACTACCCAAAAGCAAGAGCCTAAAATAGTAGGAAACAAGAGGAAGAAATTTATATTGACCTTAATTCCTCTTAAGAAAACAGCTGTGTTTATTTAGAAACAATTACTGAGGATAGAAAGCGAGACCTCAGCCCCAGGGTACCTTAAATTGGGTAAAACTATTCCACATTAGACAAAAGATGATGAATGTATCCAGAAAGGGAGATGAAAAGAGAGAAGAGAGATAGTAGGAGTCGGCCTACGCTATAAGGTGATTCTTTCTTGCAACTCTCCCAAATCTTTGATAAAGTTGTTAAAGCTCACCAAAGCCTTGAAAAAAATTTTTTTACAGAACTCAATGAAGGATTTTGTACCATGTGTCACATGGGGTGAAACCAAAGAAATAAGCTTGAGAACAGGGGACTGGAGAAGGGTTGTAGAGAGAGAAGCATGGGGGTAGAGGGGAGAATGCTTATTCCAGAGCACTGGAGTTGGATTTGGGTCCAGTTTCACCAAATCTTTACAAGACAGGTGCCTAGGGGCACATGGGTAACATAAATTTCTTATTGATGGTCAGTGAATGTGTATTTATCTTACTAAAAATATTGCCCACAAACTATACCCAGTATTTATATTACATTTATGAAGTTACATGCTCTAAAGCTCTGTTGCTTGAGTGATGAGCATCCACAGCCATGTTAGAAGAATGGTATCACAGAAAAAAAATGTCCTGTTTATGGGAAATCCCTAAATAATTTCCCCTTAACTGATTAAAGGATCATCAAAGGATTGTTGCTGATCTTCACTAAACCGCAAAAGAAACTCCAGCTCTCCTGAGATCAGCAAGGGCTACTCAGGGGTAGTGGAGAGAATTCCTATATGAAAAATCTCTACTCATTCAATAATCAACATCGTTGTCTTCAAAATGTTTCCAGGCAGCACAGATCAGCAACCCTTCTAACAATAACTTTACTTCCAGCCCTTCCCAACATTGCCATGAAGCAGATCACAGAAGTCTACTGCTGATTAGGGATAAATTAGGCAACTTTCTTTTCAAGTATTGTCTGATCATCACTCTTTAATGCCATCACTTAGCATGTCAAGGAACAAGAGACAACAGTCAACAACACAGTGCTGGCACACAGGTTAGTGATTCCAAAACCAACCCACCCAAGAAAAAAGGGCAGAGGAAAACATAGTAAAGAAGGAGAAATGAAAATATGTTCTGTGGACTGAATCAGTTTATACCACTAATAGGTATTAAAGCTGATTCCCTTCTTTTCTTTCATAGAAATCTTAATAACACAAAGGTTCCATATAAAGTGCTGTCCACGTAAATCCTGAAATGAGTACAATTTGTCATGGAATAGTAACATTAACAGATGCGGAAAACCTCCTTCAGTTAGGATATAAATTTGGACACCCCTCTCCAACCAAAGATGAGTCAAGCAGGATAATTTTTCTCTTACATAAAATACAGTAGAATAACCTACATATCTCTTGGATCACAAACGGTTTCTAGAACTCATTTGTTTATTTGCTCTGTTCCAAGTCCCAGAAATAAAAATGAACTTCCCATCGGAACCACCTGCTCTTCAGTGATCTTTAATCCATCCACCCTTGTCAAAGCGTTTGAAAAGGAGAAGACGGAAGACTCACCATTTGATTGCTGTACCAGTATAGCGACGTTCCCTTCAGCACCACCCAGAACTTTTTCCATTTGTTGCTCAGGAAAGTTCCTTTTTCTTTTTTCTTATATAGCCAACCTTGGCAGTCAGCATGTCCCAGGTCTTTACAGGATATCCTCCTCCGACTCATCGTGAAAAACCCTGCAACAATTATATGAAGAGGTAGGTAACATATTACCCTGGTTTATGTGACAGAGTGAAAGGTTACTGTTAACTGTTTACCTCTTGGGAGTTGGATTTTTTTACCAAGATTTATGCAAAGTAAATGCAAAAAAAAAAAAAGAGAGAGAGTAATTTATTTTTAAGCATTCATTTGGTGCTTACAAGGTACAAGATAGGACCAAAGAAACAGTGAGACTGGTATGCAAGTGTAATTCTAAGAATATTATTCAACAAGGATAAGTTGAAAAAAAATAAAATCGGGAAGCTGGCAGGCACATCATTGCACTAACACAGCTCCTTTCAAAATAATAGCAGTCATTATGCAATAGATCGAGAAGGGTTAATGCCCACCTAAACACAGCCACTTCCCGACTCAGTGCCAGCTTTTCTAAGCTTTATTGACACACCACGAGGGATTAATCCAAATGAACAGCATGCCGTCATTTCTTAAAATCGATCCAAAAATAACCAAAAATTTAATCTGCCCTCCACCTTCTGATATTAGCATGAAGACAGACAAAAATCGGATCCCAAAGAAGGCATCGGACAGAAAACCCACACTCAGGCACACAAAAAGGGGAATAAAGAAACAAAAGAGATCTAATTACCTTGAGTTTTCTTTCTCTGCTTCTGACGCAAGGGAACCTGCTGATAATGCAGAAAGGAAAGAAAAGAGGAAATTTCTGATTGTGTTGTAACATTTGTAAAGAGAGAAGGAGGGAGGGGGTGGCAGTGTTTATGAGCAGGATGGAAGCTAAAAAAAAACTCTCCAAGCAGAGCTAAAGGGGAGCTACTCGCTGAGGCACAAAATGTGCTAATTAGAATCGGTATACATTGAGCTTGAACCTGAAAGACACATACAAAGATGCGTAACTCGGTCTGTATCACTAATGTTTCCTGTTTCCACCACAGGCAGCTTTCATGCTACCACTTCAGTTAAGGCAGGATGATGTGCTCTGAAGTTCTTAAAAATAGTGAAATATTTCCCCTTTGATTTTGTGTGTGAGAGAGAGAGAGAAAGAGAGAGAGAAGAAGAAGAAGAAGAAGAAAAAACAGATTCTGCTTCTTCTCCTGCAATTTCTAAGTAACATCAATTATTTCTATAAACAGGGAAGATAATTGTGATCTCACACTATGACAGGTTCTCATCAGATTATTAAATCCATGGCCCTGCCCCCACCTGGGGTGACACCTAAACCACAGGAAATAAATATCCCAGAAAAAGAAATTCCACAACTTCTTTTGGTGACATTGAAGTAACTATCAACCCTCCTTATCAGGAAATTCTTATCAATAGCCAGATTTAAATTACTCACTCTGTGTTTAAGCACCTCTGAATATTTCTCACACATTCTACAGAAGATAAATTAATTTCAATTTCTATCTTGTACTAGCTCTTCAGATATTCAAATCAGACATAAGATATCTGAAACACACAATACATTTTAAACAGTGTATTTGTGTCTGATCAGACTCCCAGCAAAAACAAATACCAAAATAAACTGCTTTCAAATAACCTAGTGTATGCGTGTGCATAGAAACATTTTAGATGAAAGAAGTTTCACTTTTTCTGCACAATATCTAAGATTAATTTACTCAGATTTAAAAGACTTAATCTTATATGTCAACAAGAAGAGAATTTGAAAACACTGTACCTAATCACAAAGCAGGTCTAATAGTCGGCATGTAATCTTACTATAGCATTTCATGTTATTGTAGAGGTACCTGGGTAATATTCTACATACCTAACTATTGGTCTAACAGCTATTCTATGTGGTTCTATACGTGTGAAGAGAGAATATGATATAGAGGGAAATAGGATGGCATTTGTAAATCTAGAGGCCTGAAATCAACTCCTTGCTGTCATAATTAGTAGCTGTTATTACACAGGGAAAAGTTGATTTACCACTTAGAGCCCACTTCCTCGTTTGTAAAATCAAGATATTTCTAATAATTCCAATCCTACAGGTCTCATAGATATTCAACAAGATTGCACGTGAAAATGCTCCAAAAACTAAAAAATAGTATATAACTATATATAGTATAATATTATGTTATTACAGATAAAAGCAAATGCTTCATACTAATAAACAAAAATGTCAGTGTTTTTAGGATAGATAGGATTTGTATCTCCTTCTGCAATGATGATGAAGTCAATGTGCTTCAATTAATTTCCTGGGAAATCTCATACTGAATTTTTATTTTACAAATGTCAGAAAAAAATTTTATCCCTAAAGGAATCAGTCATCCTTGCAAGAAAAGGACATAACAAAGGCAATATTGCCCTAAATTTTAGGCAAGGATAGATTTATTACAGTCATGACACATGACTAAAATTTAGGCATATGATGATGGTCCTAGTCTCAGCTCCACATTTCCAAATCCTTCCCATCCTGATCTGCATCTTGGTCTGAAATTCCCACCCTTCCTTCAAGTGGTCTCCTGGGGTCTTTTTTCTGTGCAATTATCTGAAATTGGGGAAATCAGTACCTATTCAAACATTTTAGCTCAAATATAGATATCATTTGGAGAATTAAAAATTAGGTGAGAGCCAAGACTAAAGGCAAAAAAAAGAGAATAAGTAAATTTAGATGTGGGATCAGAGGCATTCCCAAGGGTCCTAGCCCCAGATGAACAAGGTGAATCACACTAGTTCATATAAAAAGAGCAACTGTAAAAACAACAAAAGAAAGGAAATTCACGAGAGGATAATTGTAGAACCTGTGAAGAGAGGCAACGCTTAGGCTATCTTTCTTCACTGGGAATCTCTGAATCTCCTCCATCCACCCTTTCTGAGCTCCGGTGGGCCTGGGAGCAGTCTCCAACTCCAGAGAAAGCCCAAATGAAACTGTAGGTGTTGTCTCAATTTTGCCAAGACTAGTCCTTGGTGTTTGCTAGATTCTTCTGCCTAAGGCTGAGTAAGAGTCAGAGATCCAAGCAATGGACAATACCTTGTGCAGGGTGAGCACCCAATACCAAGAAAGGATTTTTTTATCCAGACCTTCTTTAAGGAGGGCAAAGGAATTTAGTCATCAAGTACACCCTCCTCTGACAATACTCTCCTAAGACAAATTATTATAAACTGTTCAAACTGTTTCCCCCAACCAGAATCAGAGTGCTTATTATAGAAATAACAAATTACAGGGAGTTTCAGTTGCACTTGATGTATATGAATTTGAAACCTAGTGAGTTTACATGAGAGAATGAAAACAATCTTGAGAACTTCAGTGAGCTTAAGGTACATTTTACTCCTCACAACAGGAAGTGGAACCCACGAACTAGTCAGTTTCAAAAAGATCTTAGATGTGGTTCTTTTCACTAGGTAAGTGAAAAAAAGTTAAACAGCCAGTTGAGCAATCTATGAGATAATTTTTCAATAGAGGAATTGCAACTATTTAATAACAAGTATCCAGAGCCTAATAACATCTTTCCATTGGGATGTTGTGGATAAAAGTGAAGAATTACTCTAAATGCTGAATTTGCACTAACTTGATTCTAAACTGTGGGGGAAATTTTTCTTTTAAATATCTATTTCTTGGGGATCCCTGGGTGGCGCAGCGGTTTGGCGCCTGCCTTTGGCCCAGGGCGCGATCCTGGAAACCCGGGATCGAATCCCATGTCGGGCTCCCGGTGCATGGAGCCTGCTTCTCCCTCTGCCTGTGTCTCTGCCTCTCTCTCTCTCATTCTGTGTGACTATCATAAATAAATAAAAAAATTTAAAAAATAAATAAATAAATAAATAAATATCTATTTCTTTTTTTTTGCTGGAAAACAGCACCTTTATTTTACAAAATGCTTACAAAGTTCATTTGGTTACTAATCACTTAAAAACACAGATAAACGTGCAAAGAAACCAGTACAAAATATACAAAGGAACCTCCTTTGATGTTGAATGATGGTGCTAAGACCCAAGTTATTAGTACAGTGACCTCTAATCTATATAGTAATTCGTAAATCTTGCAGACACAATTTATCCCCATGATATATTAAAACTCACAGTGAGATGGCTTGTCATTACATGAAAGTTGATAATGATCCTGGTCTTTAGCCAAATTATACAGTGATATGTTACTCAATGGGCCCTGATTTATAACATTAACCAGTTTTCATGGCGTGAAGCCTCACTTCATTGTCAATTTCAAGCTACCAATGCTTAACCAAGCCACAAAATTCCTAAATATTTTATAGACAAGTCAATTCCAGCTGACAGAGCTGTTAGGAATATTTTTCCACAGATGGCTTTCCCCCCACAAAGATCTTTTCTCCTTTCTGGAAAATTAAACTCAACTTTATAAAGGAAATTTTAAAGCTTTCAATTATTAAAATTTTACCTGAGGAAATACATGAAAAACTCACTTATTTTTTTCAGAAGACTAAGCACCTTAAATATTACTTGATAATTCATATGAAAAGAGAATCTCTAGTAGTGAAAAGTGGAGATAGATAATAGACATTCTAATAATAATAGACAGTAATAGAAAACAATGACAACTAGAAGATATATATATAATGTTTGCCATGTGCCAGGCACTGCCTTGGGTCTTTTCACAAATACCTGGACTAAATCTTCACAATAATTACGGCTTCGGTGCTATTCTTATCTCCATCTTATAAAAAGAAGAAAATTGAAGCAAATGGAGGTTCAAGATTTTGACCAAAGTCACCAAAGTAAATGGCAACATGCATATTTTTATTTCAAGAATAAAACTCGCCAAGTGGTAGCATCTTAGGATATTTGTGTGTTTGTTGTTGATATTATATAAAAGAGTAGGACAGGGAAGCAAGGACCAGAGTCTGAGGGTAAGGACTGAAAGAGGGATGACTAGGAAGGAGAAGGAGAGATGGGAGAGGAGAGAGGGCAGAGAAGAAGTCAGTGAGTGGAGCCAGAGAAGGGTGGAGGGACCAGAAGGGGAGGAGTAGGAGGAGGAGGAAAAGGAAGAATATAGAAAGTGAGGGAGAGTGGGATGTCAGGGAAAATCCTGGAGTTTCTAGCTTAGACAATTGAATAAATGAGAGCAATGCAGACAGCATAGTTTTAAATAAACACGTTCAGTAGTAAATATCAAATTTGATATTTGATCTGAGGCATCCAAGTGGAAATGCTCTGTATATATTGTACTTAAGTGTCTGGGATTTGTAGAAAATCTGGAATCAGGATATAAAATTGGGAATCATCCATCTACAGAGAGTAAAAAGCTTGATATGGGATAAGATCACCATGTGTGTAGAATGACAAAGAACTGAAGTCAGAATCTGAAGGAGGCCCAATTAGATACACAGGAACAACAGAGCAGACAATCAAGGAGACCCAGTGGAATAGCCAATGAAAAGATAAAATTAGGAGAGGGGTTGTTGTAGAAGTGAGGGAGAGATTCAAAAGAAAGGTGAGTCCAAGTCATCAAATGCTGCCAGAGTAAAAGAGAAAGATCCACTTACAGATATAGACTGTAGCCCCAAAAAACACATGTGCAACGGAAGTCACACAGTTGTTAATTGCAGCACTGTGGTGATAGTGCCCAACTGTAGGAAGCTGAATGTGTTTGAGTATGTGAGTGGATAAATAGTGTCATTTTCATTCACTGCTGTGCTCTATTAGAACTAGAGCTATAAGGAAAAAAAAATCTCAAAAAATCCTATATTGAAAATCA